TGATAAATTTCTGATAAATTTCTGATAAATTTCTGATAAATTTCTGATAAATTTCTGATAAATTTCTGATAAATTTCTGATAAATTTCTGATAAATTTCTGATAAATTTCTGATAAATTTCTGATAAATTTCTGATCATTTTCTGATCATTTTCCAATCATTTTCCGACAACTTTTGTTGACATTATTATTATTATTATTATTATTATTATTATTATTATTATTATTATTATTATTATTATTATTATTATTATTATTATTATTATCATTATGTATTTCAGTAAACGTGTGTCAGAAAATGCTGACACCAGATTTAAGGAATTAATTCCAGCTGCCCTTAAAACGGGTTCGGTAGTCGGAGAGGCCGAGTCTCTGGTACTTTGCAGCTTTAGAGCGAAAAAACTAAACTAAACTAAACTAAAAAAGACTGGAAAGGAAATATACTTGTTTTAATTTAAAAACTGTCTCCATTAGTCTGGAACTATGGTTGTTTCAGAGGTTATGGAGGATTTAGTCTGATTACAGGCAGGAGATCAGATCCAGCTCCATCCTGAAGCTTTTCCAACATGACCAGCTTTCTGTTTCGTGAACCAGTAAATCTTGATATTTGAGCTAAATGTATTTTGTGTTTCAGCCCTGAGCTGTATCTGATTGTGAGGAGGGAGGTTCCTGAGGGCCTACTGGGTCCAGACTCACCCTGCCCAGGTCCCGGTTCCTCCTCCAGCAGAGCCACCAGAACCGAACTGTCCAGGACAAAATACTGGAACTTCTCCAGGCTGCTCTCACTCAGGCCGCAGCAGCCAATCAGAGCCTCTCCATCCAGAAACGCCCCAACAGGTGGGCTGGGTCCCGAGACCTGCATCACACTGTGATAGGACATAGATGTTAGCTTCCTAAGGACCTCTGGATCTGAGACCTGCATCACACTGTGATAGGACCCAGAGACATTAGCTCCATGAGGACCTCTGGATCTGGTCTAAGACCTGCATCACACTGTGATAGGACGGAGACGTTAGCATCACACTGTGATGGGACTGAGATGTTAGCTCCATGAGGACCTCTGGATCTCCATCTGGATCTGAGACCTGCATCACACTGTGATAGGACAGAGATATTAGCTCCATGAGGACCTCTGGATCTGTATGTATCTGCATTTGGCAGACGCTTTTATCCAAAGCGACTTAAAGAATGGACGAGGTGCATTGGCCGGGAATCGAACCCAGGTCAACTGCTTGGAAGGCAGTTATGCTAACCACTATACCACCACTATACTATAATATAAGACCTGCATCACACTGTGATAGGACGGAGACATTAGCTCCATGGGGACCTCTGGATCTGGTCCTGAGACCTGGATCACACTGTGATAGGACAGAGACGTTAGCTCCATGAAGACCTCTGGATCTGGTCTAAGACCTGCATCACACTGTGATGGGACCTAGAGACGTTAGCTCCATGAAGATCTCTGGATCCGGTCTAAGACCTGCATCACACTGTGATAGGACCTAGAGACATTAGCTCCCTGAGGACCTCTGGATCTAAGACCTGAATCCTACTGTGACAGGACAGAGACATTAGCTCCATGAGGACCTCTGGATCTGGTCCCAAGACCTGGATCACACTGTGATAGGACAGAGATGTTAGCTCCATGAGGACCTCTGGATCTGGTCCTGAGACCTGCATCACACTGTGATAGGACAGAGATATTAGCTCTATGAGGACCTCTGGTTCTCCATCTAGTCCTGAGACCTGCATCACACTGTGATAGGACCCAGAGACTTAGCTCCATGAGGACCTCTGCTGGGTCCTGAGACCTGGGGACCTTCTCAGGCATCACCTACAAAGTTGAGCTTTAAACCCGAAAGGCTGAATCGTGTTTGATCTCCTCACCAGTTCAGCGTGGCCTCAGCGGCCTCCTTCACCCTCAGAGAAACCGGGTTCGGCTCCTTCTTCTCTTTAAGTCCAGACTCCTCTTCCTGTTTAGATTTACTGCCCGATATTCCCAGTTCCACAATCTGCAGGACTTCCAACAGGCACTCCTGGAAGAACACATGGAGCTGGTTTTCTCACTGGTCATTTAGCTGATGGCTAGTTACCCACTAGTCATTTAGCTGGTGGCTAGTTACCCACTAGTCATTTAGCTGGTAGCTAGTTACCCGTTGGTCATTTTGCTGGTACCTCGTTACCCGCTAGTCATTTATCTTGAAGCTAGTCACCCACTAGTCATTTAGCTGGTAGTTAGTTACCTGATGGTCATTTAGCTGGAAGCTAGTAACCCACTGGTCATTTAACTGCTAGCTAGTAACCCACTGGTAATTTAACTGCTGGCCAGTTACCCACTAGACATTTAGCTGGTAGTTAGTTACCCACTAGTCATTTAGCTGGTAATTAGTTACATGATGGTCATTTAGCTTGTAGCTAGTTACCCACTTGTCATTTAGCTGGAAGCTAGTTGCCCACTAGTCATTTAGCTGGTAGTTAGTTACCTGATGGTCATTAAGCTAGAA